AATAACATGTTTGTTCTTATATTTCGGCAGACACAAAAACTAAAAAATTATAACCAATGCTAAAAGTAAAAGTGTAACGACCAAGCGCCCATGTTATTTTAAAAAAAGGAGGACATATGGTCTTAAAAACACTTCAAGCTTTTATAAAACATGATTTAGGTTAGGAAAGAGTTAGCCATGTAGAAAAACCTGTAAAATGCTATCACCTGTGTTAAAAGAGAACAATATGTTGGATCCTACATGTAGGCAATCGCACAAACTAAAAGATTACTGCAGTAGTATAACCAATACTAAAAGTGTAACGACCGACCACCTAGGTTACTCAAAAAATAGGAGGACAATGTAACAAAGACAAAAAAATAGGACAAGGTAACAAAGACAAAAAAATAGGACAAGGTAACAAAGACACTTCTAGTTCTAGCTTTTTATAACACATTTAGGTTTGGACAGAGTTTAGCCGTATATAAAAACTTATAAAACGGGGGAAAAAATGCTATAGCCTGTGTTAAAAAAAAATAACATGTTGTTTTTTACATTTAGGCACGCACAAAAACTCAAAGATTAAAACAAATACAACAAGTTTAACGTCCAATTGACCAAGTTATTAAAACCGTAGGAGGACAAAGGGATAAAGATACTTCTAGATTTTACATATGTGTAGCGTGATGGCAAAATGAGTTACTTCCCCCCTCTTAAGGAAATAGATAGATCACACTCATGGCTGAAGTTTTTACCATTTATAAGTATGAAATAATATAAGTCAGGTTATGGTTAAAGAAAATACCATCAATAGAAAATCTACAAATTTGACCCTTATGTCGATTTTTGGCCAATACCTCCATTTCTGGATTGCGAGAAGTAACTCATTTTGTCAGCACACCTCACATATATATCATTAAATTTGGATAGAGTTTATCCACGTGGATAAACCTAGAAAATGCTATCAGCTATGTTAAAACAAAATACAATATTGATTCCTACATTTAGCCAGGCACAAAAAAACCCAAAAGATTATATAACGTATACTAAAAGTGTAACGACCAACCGGATAAGTCTCTCAAAACAGTAGGACAAAATATACTTCTAGATTTTTGAAAACATAATATTTAGATTTTTGGATAGAATTTAGCCCTGTGGACCAGAGAACCAATCACCAACATCAGCAGCGAACCTCCATATTGGCAGACACCAGAAATCACAATAAGGACAAGACTTCTAGACCCTTCTTGTGACAAGACCACACCAGAAGAAACCCTCTGAACTAGCGCCCTGGAGACAGTGGACTCGTATGCTGAAACTCCAATCCATGCACACACAGATGGGTCAGCAACAAACGCTACACGGAATGCTGGATACGGATCTTCCATCAAATATCGAAAGAACCTTGGAGAGAAGAAGCAGACCCAACTATATTTGGCCCGTGTGGAACATACATCTCTAACTTAATAATTTCATAATTGTTCTTGTATAAAACGGCGTGGACAGTTAATGATTGAGGGGGGGGGGGGGGTCATAGATCTAGATCAAAATATTATACATGTATATTCAGATTCTTCCTCATCTTCTCGTTCATGTACTGTAAACATGAGCATAGCAGACTTTGTGCTGTTGAGGCTAGAGTAGAGAGGTGAGCAGAGTAAGCCTGATTCCCCGTTTGGACTTCTCTGCTGACATCCATCTCTTAGCGCCGTATGACCGTATGTACATGTAGTAGCAAAGCTGCAAGCGCCCTAAAACCTTGGTAAAACAAAACCAAACATGGACATCCCAAGGTGAAGTAGGAAGGTTGCCATTGTCCACAAGTTTGTCCCCGTGGTTTTATGCACCCCGCATCGTTTAGCAAAATTTGATCATTTTATGCATAACTTCTAATTATTTTCCTTTATCATTCTTTGTTCAAATTAACAGAATCGCATAATTTCACCTTTTTGGGATCAGTTTGCATAATTTCAGAATGTTTCTTTCATAAAAGGATGGGGACAGTCAAGTCCTCCCGGCCCCTGGTGTAGAGTTGTGGGCCTCTCTCACCTGTCTGAGGCTGGGCCAATGTTCTTTCCTTCTGCCTCGTCATGCACAGTGGGAGATCTACAGACCAATCGTCAGCCTATAGCAAATATAATGATAATAATAACAATAATAATAATAATAGTAATAATTATAATAATAGTAATAATAATAATAATAATAATAATAACAATAATAATAATAATAATAATAATAATAACAATACTAATAACAATACTAATAACAATAATAATAATAATAATAATTATTATTATTATTATTATTATTATTATTATAATGATAATAATAATGAATTAATTAAAACGCGCCAGAATCCACAAAAGAGCCCGGTGGCGCTCATAAAACACACACACAAAAGCTCTAACGCTCAGTACCACTACGACATGCATACATTGAAAAAAATAAAATGACAGATATTTCAGATATAGAGTTCCAGCATTATAAATACTTTCCTGAAAAACATTGTCTACAACTTTGATTTAAATTGATCAATTGAAAGAGACATTTGTGAGGCAGCGTGGTGGAATCAGGCTCTCGTCAAAATAATCAAAGTGAAGAAACTTTTCATTTATCTGCAGGTTTTTTTAAATTTTTATCAATTTTCTTTTCTTTTTTTTTTTTTGGCTCAACACCTTTCATGCCCATTACAGAACTCATTTCTGTATGAATTTTCTGAAAAACGTTGATTAAAGGCACACAAAAATGTAAATTTTCAGTTACTACAGGCTCTTAAGCAAAGGAAATAACTAATCTTTGGCGGCCATTTTCTCACTAATTTTACCTCGTAAAACAGATGACCCCCACCTCCTTCAATTCCGAATATCTCGACTTGTATTCAAGAGAAATGGATATTTTTTAAATCCAAATGAAGACAAATGAACAAGCTTTAAGGTGATACCAATAACTCTACATGCCCAAAAATTTGACGAGAGTCTGATTCCACCACGCTGCCTCACATTTTAATATCTAAATCCAAATTGCTCCAAAATTTTGGGGCACAGATTGTAAAGGCCCTCGGACCCAACATTGTAATTGTGGACCTAGGCAAGCAGAGTTGATGGTCATTGGAAAATCAAACGGGATTCTTTTTTTTTATATACGGGGCGCCCATTTCGGATGTCATCGAGTCGGGTCGGGGGCGATCACCCCTCTCGTCGCCTGAAAACATTTACGTGTTTGTTCTTGAGGTGATGAGTCGGGCGTGATCGGCTTGTGTCACAATAACCGCTCTGCACCCTCAGTCTGGCTGACAAACCGACCCAACCAGACTCGATCCTCCAATGGTCACCCCGTATTAGGCCGCGAGTCGGGCGATCGGTTTGTGACGTGATGGTCGCTTTGCGCCCTCAATCTGGCTAGCCCCTCCTACCAAACCGAACCGATCGTGCCAATGGGCACCCCCTATCACGATGCATTGGGCAGATTTGTTACTTGTCACATGGAAAAGATCAAGAGGAAGACCACGTGGAACCTGGAGAAGAGTCACGGAAATGGCTGTGCAGAAAAATGGGAAGACCTGGAGTGACATCAAGCGACTAGTCCAGAATAGGGAAATGTGGAAAGTGTTTGTTCGTGGCCTATATCCTGATCCAGGGTGAGAAAGGTAACGATCATGATAACTTGCAATATAAGCTGTTTGCTTGACGGTTCTGTATTGACGCTGCTCTGAGTTTAATATTATATCAAGACAATAAAATTTGTGCATCCTTTTTTTAAGTGGAAAAATTTAGGTGGCCCTAAAAAGGACCTTGAAAAAAAATGGAGTTTCAAATGCTGGATCCCCCCCGCTTGACTATCCTCCCAAGACAGCTTCCGTTCCCTGGCCCGGATTAAGAAAACTGCGCTGACTACAGGAACCTAGACAACTATCCAATATTGTAATTATATGTTGAGCGTTGGCCAGGGAGACGTCGGCTATCTTGAGGTTCTTTTCTGCAGGGGGGAGCCGGGCATCTAGCTGCTCCGTGCAGCGAAGAGAGCCGGAAGCGACTCCAGAATCTCGTCAGCTTCCTCGGGCTCCGTTTGAGGTGGCCAGCTGACATCCGGTTTTGCTGGAAGTTCCGGCGTGTCTCCGATCTCGTGGTCCTGTTGGATCATCTCGAAGAGCCATGAGATCTCCAACAGGGGTTCTGCATCCTGCTCTCTGTCATCTTCCAGGCTCGCCAGGGATTCCAGCGAGCTAGAGCAATTGCTGTGGGCGTAGGTGTCCGCTGAAGCTGAAGAGTCGCACAATGAGATTTCCGCTTCTTCATCGCTGCCGGACACGGAAGATTCGATGCCACAGTCTTGGCCTCGGACTTGTAGTGGTTCCTGTGGGTTCCAACGGAAGTCCTCACTGGGGCCGAGATCCTGTGACTTGCCTAAGGAGATTTCCTCAGCCTCGTCACTGATATTCGGCTCCAGGATTTGGCCCTCTGTGGTATCGTCCCCACAGAAGCAGGAGAAGCACGTGGATCGGACGACCCGCTTTAGTTGTTTCCAGATTCGTCGACCTACGGACATCGTTGCGTCGCTTTGCCCTTCGGGTTTGGCGTTGAGGTTGGCCTTACAGAATCTCTGTGAGCCTATCGAAAGAACGACATTGCGCGGACCTCCGAGAACGTGGGCTTGCCTTCGAATAGACGCGGCACACGGCTGTCTTTCTTTTAGGGGTAGAAAATAGCT